CCTAACTATATTTAAACAAAAATGGATTTCATACGTTTGTAATTCAAGCTACATGTTTTCTTTTTCATACTCTTGTATCAGTCAGTCGTGTGTCCTTTGCTATTTACTAAAAAGAAGGGGGTTTAAAGGGTAATAGGTTCCAGGATTTTTACTTTCCAAACAATTATCATACTGGGAAGTCAAAACTAATGATCACTGAGCTGTAATCGACACAGACATATAACAATAAAGACCCCCTGGGACGCTTCAGCCTATATGGAATCCAGTACCGTTCTCAGTAGAATAGGAATTAGAGTTAAAAGAATCTAAACTTACATACCAAATTATACCTATATTCCTATCCCTCCCCCTAATTATAAAAGCACTCGTCTGCAACAGCTGATAACCTATCGAGCTGATAGGACCGATACCACGCTCTTCTCCGCCTCACCTCCCTTAGTAGGCCGTTATGGCATCTGGGAAATGGTCGCGAACAATTAATCTTCTGTGTTTAAGCCTCCTCACGCTCCTCATACATGCGTGTGGGGGGAATGTGGTGGTGTTGGAGAATGAGGGAGGTACGGGACGGGAGCCCTGTGTGGTGGGGGAAAATGGAGAGATGGTGAATTGTGATGATACTATTGAGGTGAGGTACGACCTCTTATGGAACTCAAACATCGCGACATACGGTAAGCAGGCAGTGGGTTTGGTTATATTCTATTCTATTTTCATGCTTTTCATTTTTTTTCATCTAGATCGAATCGATTTTGGGATGCCTTTATCTTTTTTTTTTGTTATAAAACAAAAATAGAATTATGCTGGAAGACGAGTTGGTTGCAAAAAAGAATCAGTTATCTTATCTTAAAGTTAATGTATATGTGCAAGCAATTTTTATGCTTATTTGTGTGTGTGTGTGTGTGTGTGTGTGTGTGTGTGTGTGTGTGTGTGTGTGTGTGTGTGTGTGTGTGTGTGTGTGTGCGTTTGCGTGTGTGTGAGCATGTATGTGTGCATGTGAGTTTGTATGTGTGCACGGGAGCTTGTATATGTGCACGTGAGCGTGTGCGTATGTACGTGATCGTATACGTGTGTACTTGTGAATGTGTGTGCGTATGGCGTGTGCAATTATGTATTTACTTTTGGGTATGTGTAAGCTCGGGATGGTGAAACAATGTTTCAAATCTGTTATCATCACTTTCTGATATACAAATAGACATTAAGTGATAACTAGATATCACTGACAGGCCCAATACTCACAAACAAGAAGAAATATTGTACAAGAGCGCTGTGGATGTAAAAATCTGCCATTGTTGTGTTTCAAATATCCATTAGGAGGTCTTTCAAGGCGCGAAATTATTTTGGCTGAGTCACGAAGTTCTAATAAGGTAAAACGTACTTCGGTAAAGCATTACACAACATGCCATTCTTATGACGTAAAACCGTCATAAATTTACGTTGCGTTTGAAATGTGTCACATTTCCTCCAAGGAACAAGAGATATGCTATCTCAATAATACAATTGTGACGTCAAGAAACATAAGCCTGTGTTTCTCAGTCTCTCTCTCTCTTTTTCTTTTTTCTTTTTTTATGGTTTATTGTTTTCGTATTAATTTTTGAAAGGCTCATATTTTCAAAAAATATGAGCTGCGTTTGCCAAGGGTACAGATATTAATATATATAACTGTTGCTAACTATAACGAGAATATATAGATAAAGGAAAAAAATATATAGATAAATTAAAAATGAAATGGTCATGCTTATCACCTACGAGATATGCCCTATCGTTTTATTATAGATGTCATGCAATCATATATGTAACAGGAAACTGCACTAAAATTATTTTTTTGGCCCAACAATTCTGCTATATGTTTATAACTATTAAAGAACTCTTTATCTATACAATCTGGAATATTGTGCACAACTCAGTCACAAGTTTTAGGCTAAATCTAGCGTGTTTCAATTTTTTCTCTTTCTGTTATTTTGGTGACGTCATAAATTATTTCGATTGGAACTTTGGTCATAAGTGAACAGGGGAGGCATTCTTTAACTCTGGTTTGAGTATTCGTTATGTGTGTGTGTGCGTGGTGTGTGTGGTGTGTGTGTTTGTGTGTGTGTGTGTGTGCGTGTGTGCGTATTAGTATGTATGTTATGTTCATTTGCCTCCTATTTCGCATGTGCAGAATAACATGTCTCTTTCGTGTGTTTGATTCAAGTAACTTGCAAAACAGTATTAACTTAATTTAAATATTAGATATTACTGTCAACTTCCTCCATCACTTTTTTTTTACTCTTTGAACGTGTATTTTAAGGGACAAGGTTCATGTTCTTTTTGACGCCAGAACAAAGGCTGAACTAAATAACCTTTACGCAAGATACCTGAATTCCTTATCTGATAACAGTGAAAGAGACATTTCCCTCCATCTGGGACGGTAAAAGATGAATAAAACGAATATATAAGAAAAATCGAAAAGACAACCTAATTTTCCTTATTGGATTAATTGCCAATATGGAACGAAAGGGAAATA